TATACCTTCTTATATGACAAGCACAACTAGTTCCATGTTAAAAATGTACACTGATTTTCTACTAGTCCATCCTCCATATTCATCTGCAAGTATCTGTGGTATGTCGAAATGATGTAACGTAACATGTGGTTGTATTCCTGTACACTCAGAACAAGTAATTCAATCTTTTTTAGGCATTGTTTGTTTAGTTAGACAATTGAACTTGTATTTCTTGATGACAAGACATTGGCATTTTTATATCTAACCATGGGCAATAAGCCTGTTGATGAAATCGTTGTAGAATTGTAAGCCTTTTATATTGACCGATCCTCTTCCATCTTCAAAAAATAAAAATAAAGCAAGAGTGTTTATAAGGAAGACAAGTGAAGATCCGTAAAATTTTCATTAGACTATTAAGTGAACATACTAGGGATGAGTCTCGACCAAGAGATAGAAAATCTATATGCTTCCAAACCCATGTCTGCTATAAGTTCAATGTCTTCCTGCAATATTCAAAAACAGTGAGTTGTAGTGGCTCAAAGTAAACTAATTTCTATATTAGCAGTCTACTATTTTGACTTGTAATGTTGTATGAAGCCATATCTCCTTAAACATGTATTAAACCGATTAGAATGGAGTTCTTATGCTAGTTATCGAAAAAATGAGTTATTTGTTGTGGCAAATCTAGATGGTGTTTACCTTGTATTTATGGTACCCATCACATGTTATGTCTGCATTGTCTCCATTGTTCCAAGGAACCCCTTCATAGTATCACACAAAAAATTACATTGAAACTTAAGAGTTGTAGCATTTAGTATTGGTGATTTTAGTGTCATCAAACAATTTAAGTAATTAGGATTTACACTACTACTTAAAGGATTTAAAGCAATTTAAGTAATAGTACTTTTGGAAAGCTTTTCACACGATTCATTTCGGAATGTTTCTCACACAATCCATTTCGACTGTTCGTTTCTCAAATGTTTAGCAGGTGAATTCTTTGTCAAACATGAAGTATGTGCAAGGGACAGTTTAGACCGATCATGATTTATGATTTTAGGGCCAATATATTTCATGTCTTCCAACTTGACGTTTGTCCATCAATGACAGTTTATCAACCATCACTCTATCTAGTATTTACCATTCGGAGGGTGTTGGAACATCATGGCCACTCAGTAAGGCAAAGAGGCAGTTGGATATACCTTTTTCGTGAAAAATGGTCGAACCATATAGTGATAGTGTATAAATCTTAGTAATTTCACTGTTGTTATCACATGACCACATATAGTATATCCGAGAATTGTCGTATCTCACATGTACTAGTCTTATCTTGTAGATTGTTGGCACACCATCCTTCCTATAATCAAGTAATTCAAAGGTGGCGTTTATGATTATGTATATTATATCCTGATTAATTTTGACTTATTCAGGGATGGTTGATAAATGATACGATTTTCTATCTAAATTCCATTTGTCTGATACGGTTGTTTGATGTTATCTATATTTTGTAATGCTTTTTATTTGAAAAAGTTCTTTGTAGTTAAATTTATGTGTTAGTACATGTAGTAAAACAGGTTAATAGATAGATATGTAACATTTTTTTATATGGTCAGAAATAACAATGTACTTGCAAAGTATATTACTATTTTAGTTTTTAATTTCACTAATAAGCTTTTTTTTTAATAATAAAATCATGCTACATTAGACAAATGAAATTATTGTTTTTATTTCTTAAATTTCTATCTTTGGAAATTTGTTTCACGACAATTGTTTAAAATATGTCAATAGTTTTCTTTTATTAGTTTAGATTAAAGTACTTACTTATAAATCATTTCGGTCGTACTTATTTTTGAAATTTTACTTTAAAATGCTTAGTGTTTGAACATTTATATTTAACTTTTTTTAATCAACCCGTAAAATACACGGTCTCACAACTAGTAATAATATCAAAAAGAGAAGTTTAGCATCCCAGAAATGTCATAATGGTTACAAAAACCTTTATAAAGGGAGAGACAAAATCTAACATGTATTGCCAAATTGCTGAAAAATCAAAATTGGCATTCAAACCTTAGCTTCTAATTAATCTCCTAACTAAGCATGTAAAAATTGAAATTATGAAAATCGGATATTCTGCCATAATATATAAGGATAAACGGAATGGGTGGGAGATTTTTACGAATATGAGATGACCACATCAGCCATTTATCAACTCCACTAGCTTCTCACAAGCCTTAGGAAACGGTGTATAGTAGTAGGGAAGAAGTGAGGAAAAGGAAAGAAGAGAGATAGATAGAAGAGGTTTTCTCTCTTATTTGTGAAGGATCGTAGCCTTACACATAGACCGTTATAATTATTGTGGGGGTGGTGTTTGGAGTAAACTTACATGTGAGTCACGTTACGCGTGGGTTTTTAACCCACTCCATATAGCCTAATAAAACAAAATTGGAAATTAGGCTAAAATTGCGGAATATCCAAAATCGAAGGCCTAAATGACCATTTTTTAGATGATAGGCCGACAAACCTCCTTTAACTATTTTTAGGATCTCTAACCTGTATAGTACTTTCGTGCGTTATAAGTGAATTGTCAAACTCTCAAGATATAAAAAATTATGTCCGTTTTAAGAATAAAAAAATTAAATATTTTTCTTACATTTTTTCCTATCCATCCTCCTATCATTTTTAGATGATGAAAAATATAATAAAAATTTATCAATTTTATTAAATATGACAACTGACACAATCTTAAATGTGTAGGAAGAAAAAAAAAAGAATATTTGATTCCTCCTAAGAATATATTATTTCCGCCTCGTTTGTCACACCTCCATTTCTCTATAAATGCTAACACAATATCAATATTCACCGCATCACTTTTTGACCGTCAAGACCGATTTTACCCGATTTATACGGGACTTGATTTATATTGGACTTGGGAAGTGGTGTTGTACAAAACCAAAACAAAAATGTTTTTAATATTTTTTGTTATAAAGGTAATAAACCAATCATATTTTGGTAGTGCTATCATTTTAAAAATATCGATACAATTGTTTTAATAATGTAATATTTAAAAACAATATATAATTAACATTTGCTACATATTTATGATAAATTAAACCATGAATTGAGATGATAAACTCATAAACATATAAAAGAAGAAAGAATTTGAAAAACAAAAGGAATGAATAACTATGTAAAAAACAAGAGGGGTATAAACGAAATTATAAAAAAGAAATTGAGTTTCGACCACTATTTGTGGGAGACAGATCATAAATTCTTGCCTACATATGGACCTAACCTCATGTCCTCCATTATTCCACTATACTGTCTGGTCTCCATCATGTACCTTTTATAGAAAGTTCGGCCATATATGTCGACGGGTGTTTCAAGTAACCATCTAACGATTATTTTTTCCTAGTTTTAAATTTCATAGACAATATCCAATGAAACAGTTGAACGGAAAATTTTGCATAATTCTGATCTAAATTCGTACTTGTGTTACCTGAATGAGCAAATGTGTCCCAAATGCTGAAACTCCTTCCATCTTCTAGTACTGCTCCTTCAAACTTATGATCACATGCAACACGTACAGTTAGCTCCAAATCGACTACAAACACACACACACACACACACACACACTTGAAACGAAGAAATCAAAAGCAAATACCTGATAAGCTGAAGTTCCGGAACCAAAAACGAATTCATCGGGAAAATCATCTCTTCCATATTCATCAACCACACCATATACGAAAAATCTTGCATCATCATATACGTAGTTCCCGATCACCAGTAGAAGAAGAGAAAGAACAAGAAGACGGACAGAATTATACATTGTTGTCTAATCGACAATCTTCGCATATGAGGACAAACCACGCAATTGATTGTGGAGGTAGGCTATATATGGTTAGAAATGGAAAGTGAAAAAGAATCTTTCCCTCCAAAAGATCTTCCCTATCATGGAAAACTGATTTATAAGTTTTGTCCTTGTGCTATGTCGACCTTTTTTTTTGTTATGGTCCAAAAGATTCGTTACATTTTTTTTTTTTGGATCTACAGTCAACTGTTACCATTTTAGTCACCGAGTTAAAGGCCATTTAGAAGTAAATGTTAAAAGTCATGAAAACTTTCTATTTTATAATATGTTAATTACTTAATACGGCAAGATACCACGCTCTAAACATTTGGTTATCTTTTTTTTTTTACATAATTTACGATTAAAGTGATCATAATTCATAACTTGTTCAAAACCAACATTTTTACCGGCAATTGCAAATCTAGCTGATTTTCTACAACTTTTTCGATTGGTTAATTTTTTTGAAAGAGCAAATATACTAAACTACTCCTAAATTATTCCACTAATGTCTATCATGTGACTTGAACCATCGGCCTCTTGAAAGATAAATCATTTAACTCATTTAACCCATTTTTAAAGACTAACATTAAGACATTAACCAACTTTCTTACATATTTAAAGATAAACCCACTAAACCCGTTTAGCCCTATTTCATGTCGGGTTTAGGGTCATGTCAGTTTTTACGAGGTCTATTCAAAAGTTACGTTTGCTTTAAGTTGATCTTCTTTTTGGCTTCGCTTGTCTTCTCCTTTTTGTCCTTAAAGGCTTTTGTTAGATCATTTATATGCTCTGCATAACACTTTCAATCTTCAATCGTTGATTAAGAAATTAATCATAACCAATAATCCTCCAAGAAAATTCAATCAATCATCTCCCTAGAAGCTACTGATACCAATTTGTTACAATAAACGGAAGTAAAGTTGAATTGAAGAATGGAATTAAGAAGAAACTAGAACATGATTGGAACAATTGAAGAATCTCTTTATTCAATCACTTGTAATGATACAGGAAAGTAGAAGAAACAAAAGGCATAAAATTGAAATTGGAGAAAAAAAAAATGAAAATGCAACAAGTCTACTAACTCTGCTGATGCGTTTGGTTGGTATTAGAAACAAAGAGGTCATTTCCACAATTTTAGTCTACCACTTCTTGACATGTACAAAATGGTCCCTGAACTTTATTTGATGTCAAATTTATCTACATCCAGAATGATGACACTCACGTTCTTTCCTGATACAATTTGACAGAAAAGAGAAGAAACGTAGATTTTATTGAAAGATTGACGCAATTCGAGAGGGGTCTGCTCTCCCTTACAACTGAAATCAGTAATGACAAATAACACTCATTCTAACTAACTCTCTTGCTATTTGTAATACTTCTTCTAACAACATTTTAACTCCTAACCGACTTACTCAAATTGACCATTTTACCCCTTGCCTTCTTATGATTTGGTTCTCCTTCTTGTATTAGTACTGTATCTTATGGGTGCTGGTCTAACATTTCCTTTCAAAAAATTGGCATACCAGTGTGCAGATAGCTTAGGATATCGTGTAAGCTCCTTATCATTCAGATCAACATAGTACAGACCAAAACCATAAGTAAAGCCACCAGTAGCCTCAAAGAGATCCAAGAAGGACCACACAAAATATCCCTTTGTGTTTGATCCATTCCTGTTACCATGTCATTGAGACAAAAAAAAGAACCATAAGATATGGGGATATGATTGATCTATAAAGCTCTAAAATGATTGTGACTTATGAAAATGGAGCCATGGATATGTGCCCTTTTCTTCATATAGGCTACTAGATGCATACCTTAGTGCATCCAACAAAGCCCCAATATACGCATGCAAGTACTCTACCCTTGGGGTGTCCATCAATGTTGCATTTCGTGGTTGTTTTTGGCCTATCAAAAAAGTCATAATTTACATGTGCATACATAGTGACATAGGTTTGCTCATGAGTGTAACCCATGCTTTTGTTGACTCCTTATGTGTAAGACAACACAAGAATTTAATAGGTAAACTATATAATGTATATACCATTTTCATGGATGTAGATAGGAGGATTTCCATATTCTTCTTTCACATAGTTAAGAAGCTTTTGTAGACCCAATGGAGCCACGGGGAACTGATCAGATTAAAAGTATAAAAATAAAACAAGAAACTTAGTATGATAATAGGACAAACGTTTGGTAATTAATAATAAGAAAACAGAAACAACAAATGATATAACATTCAAAACCTGAACTGGAAAATTTTCACCTCCAGTAGTACTGACTGCAGAAAGGCACAGATCATGTCAGTATTGGTTTCATATGGTTTGAGTGTCCATTTTTGTTGCTTGCATGAGGAAAACATGTATAAGTATCATGGTGATCTAATCCTATTGAAATGGCTATTAGGCTTATGTGTGGTAGATCCAGCCAACTATATTTAGCATCAAGGGTATAAAGTGAACATCATGAAGTCAATTCATACATTTATATGTTACTGCCATGTCTGCAATAGCATCCCTGGTATCCGTTTCAAGACTAATGGGGTTGTCTTTCACATATAATGTGGAATAGTGGTTTATGCCTAAGAAGTCAAATGAACCCTTGATTCTCTCCAATTGAAGTTTAGTAAAAGTCGGAATTCGGTTTCCTGCATTCTTCTTCACTATTTCTGGGTAGTCCCCATTCACCAAGGGATTCAAAAACCTGAAGTTGGAACCATGAAACAAAGATCAAAGTAAAGTTCAATTCAATGTATTTACAGACACCTACAACAATATGATCCCTGGATTTCTAATAATAGCTTTTGGTAAAGGTATGGAGGTGGAAATTTTGACCAATTTACAAAAAATGGGTTAATGTGTGCTCTATTTTCTCTCAAATCGGCAAAATTTGAAAACTAAACAAACGTGAATTAAATGATTCGAAAGTCATCTATATATAGTGTATGCAAATGATTGTAACTTTAATTCAACCAATTTAGATTATTATTTTATGAGTATATTTAGTTTTTGTAATCATATAGTTACTTGAAAAACTAGAAAAAATCAAAAGGTATTGATCGGTTAACCCAACGTGACCATATTAAAACTCACTTTGTCACTTTGACCCATTTTGCTACATATAGCTTTTGATAACCTTTGTGTAACATTTCTGTTCACTCACCAACCCAAATAGAAGTCATTGGCTCTTTGGGCAGCTTTGACATCTTCGGTTGTGTTTGTATAAGGTTCAAACCAAAATCCCAAAACGTTTATTCCAATAAAACCTTGCTGCATGGCCTGCATGGTATATATATATATACGGTATGCTAACAAGTAGTGAATGTTTCTTTCTTTCTTACTTTTTCTAAAAAACAAGATACTATATAATTAGAGAAAGGTGATCTTAATTAGGATCATATCTTTACCTTGTATTTTCGGTGATACAGTCTTACTGCTGATGCATGTGCCAACAACAAATGGTGAGCTACAAGGTATGGCTCAGAAGTAGAGTCACCTTTGCTACAGTTAGACCCAAATGGGGAAGAACAACGTCCAGGAGGTGAGTAACCATAATCATAACCAAATAAAGCAAATATATTGGCTTCATTGAAAGTAGTCCAGTGCAAAACCCTATCACCAAATTCTCTGAAGCAAACATCAGCATATGCAACAAAGTCTTTCCTGCAATATTCACATACACATGTCATTCTTGCATATATATGTATATTAGCTCCATTTAAGAAATGTACACTGATTTTCTACTAATCCATCCTCCATATTCATCTTCAAGTATCTGTGGTAGATCGAAATGATGTAATGTAACATGTGGCTCTATTCCTGCATATATATATATATATATATATATATATATATATATATATATATATATATATATATATATATATATATATATATATATATATATATATATATATATATAATCAGAACTAGTAATTCTAGGCATTGTTTGTTTAGTTAGACAATTGAACTTGTATTTCTTGATGGCAAGGCATTGACATTTTTTATCTAACCATGGGCGATAAGCCTGTTGATGAAATCATTGTAAAATTGTAAGCCCTTCGCATTTATGGATCCTCTTCCATCTGCAAAAAGAAAACAAGAATGTTCATATTTCATAAGCAAGACAAGTGGAGTTACTGAAATTTTTGTCAATAGACTATTTAATTAATTAGCAAATTAACATATATATACTTGGGATGAGTCTCGACCAAGAGATGGAAAATCTATATGCTTCCAAACCAGTGTCTGCCATAAGTTCAATGTCTTCCTGCGACACTCGAATGTTATCAGTTGCAGTATGCTCTAGTTATATGTTCTACTATTTTTGAATGTAATGTAAAAGTTGAAGCCAATATCGGCTTAAACATGTTGTATTAAAGTGTTCTGAATTAATTTCTTATTATATGCTATAAAAAAGATGAGTGATCTAGATGCATGGTTTGTACCTTGTATTTATGGTACCCATCAATTGCCATATCTCCATTTTCTCCATTGTACCAGGGAACCCCTTCATGATATTATACAAGAATTACTTTGAAACTCAAGAGTTGTAGTATTTGGGTCCTGATTTTATGATTTTGGGGGCCAATAATCCTAGCTAAGAACATCCACAATGCTATGGATACATGTCATAAACCTCTTGATCATTCAATGTGAATCATTTTGTTTTTTTCTTTTATAACAAATCACAAGACAATTAAAAACAATTCGGTTTCTTGGGATATAGTTAACTCCAAATCGATTACACACACATGGAAATCATTCATCATCCGACCTGTATTCTTATTTTTATTACGTACCTGAATGTGCGAAGGTGTCCCAAATGCTGAGACTCCTTCCATCTTCCAGTATTGCTCCTTCAACCTTACACGCATGCAGTTAGCTCCAAATCGACTACACACACTCGAAACAGAGCAATATAAAGAAATACCTGATAAGCGGAAGTTCCAGCACCAAAAACGAATTCACTGGGAAAATCATATCTTCGATATTCATCAACAACTCCGTATACGAAGAAGAATCGTACATCACCATAGTTTCCGATCACAAGAAGAAGAGAAAGAACAAGAAGGACAGAATTCGACATTGTCTTCTGCTACACCCTACAGGCTACAGGAAGTGTTGAATCGACTATTTTGGAAATCATACATACGAGACATGCAAATTAACACCGATCCAGATTTGTTTTGGAGATATATATGGCTTAAAATGGAAATAGCAAAAGAATTTTTCCACCAAATCATTTTTCCTATTGTGGAATAGAACTAGAATACAACCGAGGAAAAAGAAACATCTTTATAATAATAAGACATATTTACGCAGTTGGTCCTCTACTCCTCTTATTTGCAAAACCAGATTGATTCCATATAATCATCAAAAGATCTTCGCTTATGGTTTCTCTTGCGTGATCAGTTTTTATGGTTTTATTTTGTTAACTAGGTTATAACCCGTGTGCAACACGGTTGATACGTGATAGAGTAAAACAATTCTAAAATTTAACGAATAATACATTCGCAAATAGTTATTTTAGCTGAACATTGATAAGTTTCATTATTAATTATCGATTTAATTCTTTTTACTGATTTATAGTATTTTGTTGATAATATCTAGTTTTTGTAAACTAATAATTTCAAAATTTTCAATATTACCAAGCTATTATCCTAAATGTATGTTGCTATTTCAAAAAAGTTAAAAGAATAATACTTTAATATAAAAAATAGATTATAACATTGTACTTTCAAATAGATTATAGCATATTACATTCATCTCTTCCTATTACAATGTTGTAATGAAAAGAACAAACAATGCGGGAAAACAACAAAACAATTTCAAAAAAGATTTTTTTTAATTCTGGTTAATTACCTCTTATTCACATAGGTCATCTTACTTAGTATTGACTCTCTTAAGGCTTCCACGAGTTCGTCGCCCTAAGTATGTTGCCTTAATATATTCTAAAACTTTGTTATCAAATTAATAATATTAGTTTACAAAATACGATGAAAATTAGAAAAAACTTGAAATTATTAGAGGGTACTGTTGGTAATTAATAAGGAAGCAAAATACTATCATTAACAATAAATTTATTGCAAATGAACTGTTAGTGCTTGAGTTTGACAGAATCGATCTACAATAAAAATAATAAGGTCCAATATGGAATATAGAGAAAAACTTGCATCTAGGAGTGCTTGTTACACAAATTGATATTAAAAAAAATGAACAAGTGTTATTTGTTGGTTTTGTATAGGCCTAAATGCAAGTAATATCAAATTACTTTGATATACTGGTGCATGATAACATCCCACTCATAGCTTTTTCTATTACAACGTTGTTCTTTCGTCTTTGTATAATCTACAAAAAAAACACACTTACAACTTACTTTCAGCATTAATTGATTTAACCACTTAACTATTTTTTGTAATGATTTTAACCAATACAATTTTATATCTTTTTGTTTATTATAAAAATCATTTTTCCTGGTGATCCAATTTTAAAAAAGCAAAACATATTCTCACCATTTTACTGATGTAAAAAACTATTGTTTTTTTTACATCTCTAATATGATTGATTTAAATAAACTATTGTAATATCACAACAAAAAACCATATGTAGGTTGCACGATAAAATAATCACATTAAATTATCAAAAACTTACCCACCGTTTCCATGCAAATTCAACCTACAAAACAACAAACCAAGCATTTCTCTCTACTTATTAGTTTTTCCTTCAACTCATAGAGAAAAAAAAGATAAATTTGTTATATAAACACTTTTTATGCTAATATTTGCAAAAATCCTACTTTTTAAAGATTCAAGAAACATAGGTATTGCATCTATAAAACTACAATGAAATCACTACCTGATCATCAATTAGCATAAATGGGAAAAACAGTCTAACCCTTGTTTTTCTCGGTTGATGTTGATGGTGTCAGGTGACTCTGCATACGATATTGATATCAAATAAGCTATAAATTTCTCTTTTTCATCAGAATTTACAGGTTTTGCAACATTATTCATGTTCTTTGAGCTTTTGGTGACGACTGTTGAAGATAGTTTTGTCTCTTGTAGAGTATAAGATAGAGCGGTTAATGACTCCATTGTCAGGTCCTCATAAATATACTTCCAAATTCTCTCTTAGCCATATAACACCAAATCCTACACAAAAGGATTCATCCAAAATCAAAACAACTAAAAGTTCTATATAACCCTAAAAACAAAATGAAACTACATTGCTATTTCTTTTATAAACCAAAAAAAAAACAAAATAAGATATTTTCCAGAACAATATTAGATATTTCAACTATATAAAAAGGTTACGAAATTTGAAGCTAAAAATTTGACCAACTTTCGTTAAAAGTTAAAGATTTCAACTTGACTACAATACTTCCTTTTCCTTCCTTTTCAAATATGAAGAAACTATAACATGTAAGGAGATATGATTCACATCTATTTCTCTATAATGATAACAAATTCTTATTTCCAAAGTATTGAATGATTCATTTGATTTAAAATTAGTGAAAACCAAAAAACATCCAAGTAAAACTGTTGATAGAAGGGATAGATTATTAAGCAAATCTTTTATAGACTTTCTGTAAAGACAACCAAGATTTGTATTTGTTGCAATTTTTTAGAAAGGAAGGTTTCAAAATATCAAATTAGAACAATTATAAAGTTATGTATGTATCCTATCATTTTTGTTATTTAATTATAAGATATGAAATCCCTTTTAAAGGTAAAAATATTAATGTACTTATGCATTAACCTAACAAATTAACTAAATATCTATTTTCCACATTTTACAGCCATACCATTTTGAAAATATAATTGTTATATATAAAACATACAGTACAAATCAATAAATTGGATAATAAAGCGTCAATGAAATAATAACGGTATGATTTATAGTAAATCGAATTAATATGCTCTCCATTCTAAAAAAATACTAACAATGCTTACTTAGTTAAAACATGGGATGTCATCCTTTTGAAAGAAGTTGATTTTTTAATGTATAATTATGTATTCACAAATCGAATATGATAATAAAATAGAAGTATAAACATAATCCATAATCACCTAACATTTTTATATGTTTTAATCTTATGGCCAAACTTCAACTTTAAACTTATCACTCCATTATGGGAATTCATGTAACTTTAAAATAAATAACCTGATAAAACATTGATTCCTTTGCATCTATATCCCCGCCAACACTTTCTAATAACCATCGACATGGATGTGAACCACAAAGACATCAGGTGTAGATAACTCCAATGGAAATAAATTTTCATTTACAAAAATTTTGACCTGCTAGCTTCTAAAGATACACAAGAAAGGAAATTAGTATTGACACTAAATTAAAAAGCATAAAAACAGGTATCTTAAACCAAATACACACATATATGGCATTCATTCATGTACAAAGTGTCACATCATTGACGCATTTGAAACTATTGCTCAATAAGACATGATAAAAGCATCATAAATCAAAGTTAACACAGCTTACAAAGTTAAAGCAATACCTTAGTCATGAAGATTATTGCAACAGATCTAAAAACAAAGGGTTCTGACCTTTCTTTTCCTCTTTGTGGATCTATCACCCCCTTATAATTATGTTTCCGCTTAAAGCCCCAAATTTATGAAACCTAGAGGACAACAAATCAACAACAAAAATAAATTGAGCCAAAATGTAGGACTAAGAAAATGGAACCAGAAAGCAGAAAGCATACCTAATGCATCTTGCTTCTGAATTGAGGTGTATGTGTGTTTTCTCATTTATGTAGTGGAGAAGAAATAGGCGGTGGCAATAACAGTGGTTTTAAGGGTACCAAAGGTGTCTGATAGAGTTGGTGAAGGTGGTAGTAGGTAGCGACGTTGATGGTGACGGTCGGTGCATGAAATATAGATGAAGATAAAAGATCGAACAACCTTCCCATCAGTAGATTATAGCTCTGCTTTTTTAGGGTTAGGTTCATGAAGACTTTCAAGCAACCGGTGATGGTGTTCTCGACAGTAGACGACGATGAAATAGGGGTGGTGAAAACACACACAGACAGAGAGAAGAAGAAGAAGCACCATCATTATCCTTAAATTGAAAACAGATATGTTGCTTTCGCCTCAAATTGAAATTGAAATATGAGGCTAAATTAGAAATTAGTAAATTAGTCATACATTTATGCATAAATTGAGGAGATATTCAGGGGAACAGTTTAGAGAAATCAAAAGAGATAGATATATGGGTTGAGCGGGAAAATAATTGATAAGATATCTCAATGAGCGGGAAAGCAAAATTACGGTGAACAAAAGGTGGACACGTGGCACAAAGAAAGTGTAAAAGAATGACAAGTAGCACTTTAGAGAGGTTTTTTATTAGGTAGAGAGAAGTGGTCTAAAATTACTATTATACCATTGACTGAATTTTTTATTAATTTTTATACGTAATTTGATTTAAAAATAATATTTTATTAATAAAAGCACCCCTCTTTCATTCAGACTCTGAAAACCCTTACCCTCACATCGAACTTCCACCGTCTCCATATCAATTTTACAACACTTAAGGTGCGTCCATCACCATCCCTCTCGCCCCGACGCCCCCTCACTCCATCATGTTAGAAATTTGGGGTATAATGACACTTAGAAATCTGGAAATCATGAATATCACTTTCAAATCGAAGTATTTCGGTGGTACTTCCGAAATGCTCAATTGGATAAGACTCAGAATATGAGAGAAAACAGAAAAGAGAAAGAGAGGGTATGTTTTTCGTAAGTAACAAATTATCTATGTCTGAAAACTATTACTAGACACTTTCAAACCGTCACAAACCATCAAAAACTGTCATAAAAAATGGATATTCAGAGAACAGTTAAAATTGGGTCAATTCTCAAAAAACCAAATTTCTGATGCATTTTTAATATAGCTCGATCCTAGTTAGGGGCTCTAATCCTTGGACCCCGCTCTTAGGGGCGCTGTCCCCAGACCCCCGTTCATTCAGGGGCACTGCCCCTAAATGACAATCTACTTTGAATCTTGAATAAACTTAAACAAGTGTGCACTCCGCACCTTCCTTACTTATTTAATATTCATCAAAATTAA